ATCTCCTCCTGTACCAGTCAGATCTGATTTGACGGTACACTCACACAAAAATAATAAAATAAAAATTAAAAAAAAATTTTAAAGAAAAGAAGGACATCATGTTTTGAAAGGTAAAGGTCAGCAAGAGGGAGGAAGACCCACAGTGAAAATGAATTGAGACAGTGACTGCAGCAGTGGACCCCAGTGTATCAGGGATGGTAAGGATGACAAAGGAAGAAGAGGTTCAGATCTGTTGTTCATAAGGTTGCGTCATACTTGACTCAGTGGTACATAACACCATTCTTGATTTCATTTTGTTGTTGTTGTTAAGTGCCGTCGAGTCATAGACGGCTCATAGTGACCCTATTAATGAAAAACCGGAACACTTGAATAACTTTCATTGTTTCTCCAAGTTCATAGGGTTTCCGGAGGCAAGCTATTTCGGAAGTGGATGCCACTCCTGCTTCTAAGCTTGTATTAATTGGAGAGCTCCACCAAACACTGTCCACCACCATGGGTGACCATTATTGCATTTGACACATCAGTGTCACACTGTTCAGCATCACAGCAACCACGAGTTACTTCTGTTCAGCAAATGGACAGAACAGTGCTATACATGTAGTAGAAGGTTTGACCCAGAAATTAAAACCAGCCTGAGGGCTGCAGATTAAAATCACCCACCTTTGGCTTGGTGCTCTTTCTCTGTTGGTATGCAAAGTCTCTGGGTCCTATTGGGCTGGCTGGATGCCTCTTACTGGGAGCAATTGCTTTCATTTACTTTAAATAAAACTATTTTCAATGAACATGATTTTGTTGAGTTGATTCAAACCCTAGAGGTCAGAATGGAACTGCCGCCAGGGGTTGCCAGCCTGTGATGGTTATAAAAACAAATTGCCACATCTTTCTCTCTTGGAGAATTGGTAGGTAGGTCAACATCTTAGTGAGTGCTTAGCAACACTGTATCACCTGACACCAAATCCACTCCCACCTATTGAGTTCCCAGAGCTTTGTCTTTATGGAAGCACACTGCTGCATCTCTCGTGGAGCAGCTGGTGGGTTCTGGCTGTCAACCTCGTTGGTACACCCAGTGCACCTTCACGGCTTCTGTTTTGTCAATAGTCATATGGATTTGTGCATCCTCTAGTGGTAAGAAGCTGTGCTGCAATCCCAAAGACACAGCTCAAATCTACCAGCTGCTCTGGGGGAAAAGGATGGTCAATCTCCCAGGTGATTTACTGCCTCTGAAAAGCTGCTGGATGGTCAGCTATGGGTCGGTTACTACTCAATGGCACATGGCAACAGCAACAACTTAGAAAACCCACAGCAGATTTTTAACCTGTTTGAGGCTGGGCTGAGACCATACATTTGTTGCCATTGAGTTAATTCTGCCTCATGGGAAATTAACTGCCCTATAGGAGACATGCACTAACAGGTAAATCCTTTGTTCAAAGGCCCACAGAAGGACACTGTCCGAAGTGCTCAGAGCAGCCCTGAGGTCCCTTATGACTGGCTCCCAACTCCCTTTGTGGTGTTTATTGAGCAGCTAGCAGGTGTTTATTGAGTGCTCACTGTATGTCACGCTGAGTTGTATTCGACTTGACAGCACCGGACAACCACCATCACCACCACGTGTCAGGTAGACC